GTCAGTGAGATGGTAGAATTCATTCACAGCCTAGTGGTGGTGCACCTGTCAGGGACAGTAATGGGTTCCCATGGCAACCACAATGACAACAAGATCCAGGCCTGACTGTTGATGCTAAAAGACAGTCCAGGCCCAGGCTCCAGCTGCTGTTGATTCCTTGGAGCCCCCAGCATCTTTCCAGTATGTTCCTTTATGGACATATGTGTGTGTGACCAAGAAAACCAGAGTGAGTTTCTGTTGCTTAAAAGCCAGAACCCTGATTGCTACAGTAAGGCTGTGTAATGATCAGATTTACAATTGATTACTCTGGCTGCTCTATGGAGAATGAAATGAGTGAGAATAGAAGTGGGGTAGAAGCAGTTAGGGTGCACTGGAGAAGTCCACGTGAGAGATAACAGGAGCCTGGGCCAGTGTGCAGGCAGTGGAGGAGAGAAGGTGGAATTGACAGGGCTTGCTGATAGACAGGGATAGGGGCATTTTAACTTTCTTGTGATTTATTTGGTTAGTTATATATCCTCCTTGTTCTGCAAAGGATTTGAAGCAGCTTATACATATAATAAAATATTAAATAGAAACTAAAAAAGAAAAAAAAATTCATGTCACTCTGAGAGGCGGAGAACGGGAGGGAAAAATGGAACACAAATAACAGTCCCTAAGGTCCTGTGCATTTATAACTGAGCTATATATTTGACTCTTGAGTTTCCCGATGGCCAGGTGAAAGGAGAAACATGATCAGTTTTATATTCCTCATTTTTCAGTATAGGAGGGGAAAGCAGGCCAGTTTCTCCAGAGATACAAGGCTCTTCTTGTCCTTGGTGCACAGGTTTTTTCAAAGGAGGCCCTAGGAGGTGTTGAGTGGGCCACAGTCCTGCTGGTTGATTGCAGGATGATTCCTCACCCATATGAAAGGGAAGCCCAGGCCTCGGCAGGGGAGGCTCAGAGACCAGTCATGGCCAAGTGGCCAGTTGTTGGTCTCTTGTGACCCCAGCGAGTCTCTCTTCACATAATGACCCAAAAGACTTTGGGTCAGGACCAACTCCAAATATTAGCTGTCTGGAATTTTCTTTTTAATTGGAAAAGAAATCAATACCCACTGTTTAGAACCTTGGAAGAGACAACCATTTGTTTAATTATTTATAGTGTGGTTGGGCACAGTGGTCAGAACTGAGGGCAAAGTTTAAGCTTAGTTCCCTGCTTTCCTGGTAGCAGAGAGGAAGGTGAGTACAAGGGGATGCCATGCTGAGGGCTGGCAACCTGACTGTTCATGTGCACAGGCCACCGTGCAGAGAACATCATTTCCAGAATGTTGGGCAGGAACTGTCATGTCCAACTCCTTTGTGTAAATGGGAAAATAGCTCCATAGTAGAGCTGAACTGGAACCCACCCCTCATAACTCCTGGCCAGTAAATTAACTCCTGTATCAGTCTCTCTCAGCGAAGAAATCCCACTTACAGTTACTGAGCAACATTTTTATAAGTACACTTGGAGAGATTTTAGAGGATTTTAAATAGGGGCTGAAACAACATCAGTTTAAGATGAACTCTCAAGTACCCAGAAAATAAATTATCCAGAACTTGCCTTCTGCCACAACCTGCCAGTCAATAAAATTTTGCTCTGTGTGTGGGTCACCGAATGTGTGTATACTGCCTGTGTGTGCATGTACATGGACATACAGAGGATAAGAGGTGGCTAAGAACTTCTCTGAGCCCCTGTTGTCTTATCCAATAACAGAAAGTGCACTATCTGAGTGTCAGAAGCATAAGTTCTTGTTCTGGTTCTACTAAGAACTTGCTGTGTGACTCTAAGCAAGTCATTTACCTCTCTGGGCCTTTGCCTCTGAAAAATGAAGGGGTTGCTTTAGATTATGTTAAGAATATTCCAGGTCTCCCAGTCTGTGGCTCTAAAATGAGTTCAGAGTTTACACCCAAAGCATACATCAGAGACTTTTAGTGGCCTGGTGGGTTTCCAAAGTAGTATAAGATGTCTTTTTTTTTTTTTTTTTTTCCTTTTTGTCTTTTTTCGTGACCGGCAACGGATCGCAACCCTCAGTGTCACGCCCGTACCGGACCGGGACCGGCAACGGGATCGCAACCCTCGGTGTTGCGCCCGCACCTTGCTCAGCCAGTGAGCGGGAACCGGTCTGTATGTGGGATCCGAACCCTCGGTGGGAGCGCAGCTGCGCTCCCAAGCGGCGCACTGTATCAGTGCGCCACCGGGCCGGCCCAAGATGTCTTTCTAATAAGCAGAGATGATCATGTTAACTCCCCACTTGCCAACCCTTCCAGAATTCACCAGTACCCTCATTATAAAGTCTACCTCAGGTAAGACATGTAAGATCCCCCAAGCTCTGGTCCCTGATGATGTCTTCAGCCTCATCTTTCTTTCTTTTCTTATCTTTTTTTTTTTTTTTTTTTAAAGATGACTGGTAAGGGGATCTTAACCCTTGACTTGGTGTTGTCAGCACCATGCTCACCCAGTGAGCAAACCGGCCATCCGTATATGGGATCCGAACCCGTGGCCTTGGTGTTATGAGCACCGCACTCTCCCGACTGAGCCACAGGCCGGCCCTTCAGCCTCATCTTTCACCCCTTCCTTCCTCTTGCACCCTACCTCTGCCAAACTTAACAATGCTCTATATCTTGGACCTCTGCTGCTCCTCCCCTCTATACTGCCCTGTGCCCCTACCCCTCTTCCTCACCTGCCCCAAGGCTTCACTGCCCCTAGACAATCAGCTCACCCTCCTCTCCTCCAGGAAGCCTTCCCTTGGCCACCTCCTTATTGCACTCCATGAGAGGGGTCCCTTCCTCCAGAATCCTCTGTTTCCCTCTCTCACTACACTGAGTCTCGCTGAGTTATGAGGTCTTCCATATTGCCAGTGTCCATTATTTCAGGGGACTCTAGGTCAGTGTGGTGGAAGCCAACTCTATGTTATAAATAGAGTTCTCTTTTGCATCTCAGTCTCCTCCTGTTGCCATCCTTGAGTCTCGGATGCAGCAGCAGGGAGCAGAGACAAATCGAACATTTTACTATATGAACTGGCCCACTGAAAGTGGACAGTTAGATGATGCAAGTGAATTCTGTGAATTGGCCATGAGAAAAGCTGGCTTTCAGGGAACTAATCTTTAGACGTTTGGCATTCAGAAATCGGGCTGCTGCTATCACAGTACTTGGCACATAGAAGATAATAGTTTAGTTGTCATTCTCATTGCTCTTATTATCAGTGGTCACTTAGTGAATGTTTGTTGAATAAACTGAGGTCATTTGTGCACTGTGGTTTAAAATCATGAACAGAAAAAGAAAGAAACCCTTGCCTTTCCCTCTGCTTGAAACACTCTTTGCCTTTCCCTTATCAAGCTACAAAGATCTTACTCTTCAAAGCCTAGTTCCCAAACCACCTCCTCCAGGAAACCTTCCAAGTCCTGCTAGCAAAAGTCATACCTTTAGAGCCTCCTCCATTTCACGGGACTGTAAGGATTTATTACATCCATCTGCTTTGTGGAACCATAAACTCCCTGAGTCAAGGAGTCCTAACTCAATGTCCCTGGTATCTAGCTGAGTAGCTGGCACATAGAAGGTGCTCATGAATGTCTGTTGAGGTGCACTGAAAAAACAAGAGGAATCCCTGCTTCTGGGTCTGACTGTGTCACACACCAGCTGTGTTACCTTGGCCTTTTAGTTCTATCCATTTCCCTTCTAACATGAGAGGATTGAATTAGATCAACATTTCCAAAAGCCTGTTCTTTGGAACCAATACAATAATTATAGACATTTCCATAATGGAGAGTTGGGGGTGTGTGTGCATTAGTAAAATTAGTCAGTGTTGTGTTAAACAACGTTTTCTCAAGTTTTGTGTGTGCTTTTAGGCTTCAGGGCTTCTCAGAGCCTTTTATATGCTCACATGCCCTGGGAATTTCCAGGAGGAGGATACGGTATGCAGGGTTTCCCAAACTGCTTTGACCAGGGACCTCTACATAGGAAAGCATATCTGTGGGACTTGGGTTCCAAAAAGAACACGCTTTGAAAAACACAATATTAGCCACCTGACTCAAGAGCCTTCTCTACTATACCTCCTGTGTCCAGGCCCTCGGCTAAGCATGCTGAGGAAGTCAGAGATAAATCAGACATAAACCCTCTCCTGAGGCTCCCCATTGTGCAGGGAGATAAAACTTGTGCTTAGGTAATCATCCCGAATGCAGAGAGGAGCCACGGAAGGTTGTTGAGCTGGGGTGTACTTAGAGAAGAGCAATCTGGCATCCATTCAGAGTTGGGTTGGAAGAAAGGGCAAGAGTGGGGGAAGGAAGTCCTAGCAGGAAGAGAAGCTGTGAAGACAAAAAAGAGAAAACTGACTGGAGAGGTCTTTAAGAACCCAAATAGATGGAACGGGCTTGCCAGGATATGGGGGTGGGGTGGGGGAAGAGAGATCTTTAATAAGTATTTACTGAGTCACTCCCATGTGCCAGCATCAGGCATAGGCGCAATAGGTTAGAGGGATGGTCTCCAACTGCACAGAGTTTTTGGCTAGGGAGGGCAATAGACATTAATCAAATACCCACACATAATTACAAACCATGACAGGTGTAATAAAAGTTTAGGCTGTTAATCAAGCACAGAGAGGGGCTATCTAGTCTGGGGGAGGTGGGTTGGCTTCTCCTAAGAAGTGCCATCAAGCAGGAGTCTGAAGGATAAACAGGAGTTAACCAGGCAGAGAGGTGGGCAAAGAGCATTGCAGGTAGAATGGACTGCACAGGAAGAGCAGTATTCAAGGAGCTGAAAGGCCAGAGTGAATGGTGTATGACTTGAGTGCCTGGGAAGGTGGCGATGCCTCAGAGAAAAAGAATCCAGGAGAGTTCCTAGTTTCAGGAAGTGGAAAGAGAACAAGAATCCGTGAAAGAAACAACTGGAGTGGTAGAAGAATAATTCAGGACTTTCCCACCCACCTCTTTATCCCCCTTTACCACTGCTATTTCAAGCAACTCTCAAGCGCATAGCAGCCTCCTGACCTTGCATGAAGTCCCAGATGTTGCACCTCTGTCCTGAGAGGCGGACCACTGGGCAGTTTGGGGCCAGACCCCCTAGCTCAGTCTTGTCCTCGAGTCGCTGCCAATGGACCTTCAGGACGAACCAAAAATACTGGGTGCTGAAGAAGGTTGGGATCCAGTTGTCATGGCTGAAGTGGGGGTTGTTGGCGATACCAGTCTTCTGGCCCATGGCCAGGATGTGCTGCTTGACTCTCTCTGGAAAAAATGTCAGTAGCACTTTGCCCGTGGCCACATGCACGGCCACCTGCAAAAGTACCCAGAGCCTCTTCAGCCATAGCCCTGGCCAGGGCAGCCCCATCTCGACACAGCCAGAGCTGGCTCTGAGGCCGATGAGCAGAGAGACCACAGCCAGGCAACACTGGGCGGAGCTGAACAAAGGTGTAGGGTGGGAGCGGCCAACCCTGGGCAAGAACGAAGTGCCAGGACAGGAGTTTGTTTGCCTTCCTGTCAACAAAATGGAAAATTCCAAACTAGGTGCACAAAGGTCTGTTCTAGTCATTATCATTTCAGATTCTTTGCCTTAGCTTTTGAGAAATTCTTGGATTGGGATTCCAGATCTTAAATTCTCCCTTTGATTAATTTTTAAAAACAAATTCTTAAAAAAGTTCACACTTAAAGGGACCCTGTTAAAGGATGTATTGCAAGTGAATAGGTTCTAATGTTAATTATTCTCTTAATAATGTAAATTGTTCTTTTACTAATGAAAGATATTTCTCCCACTCATAGCTTCCCGCTGGTGGCTGAATATTTCTGGAGTCAGAGCCCTCCCCAGAGGATATGGATCTGGAACTTCTCAGGGCAGAGATAGAGCTGGGGTCATCCCCAAGAAAATCAGGGGCCTGTGACTCCCCTTAGTACTGGGAGTGGAGAGATAAATAAAACACTCTCTCTGCTCTCAGGGCAGTCATAATCTAGGGCAGGGAAGAGACAAGAAAACGGAAAATTACCATTTAGTATATTAAATATAAAGACAGAAGATGTGTGGGGCCTATGGGAGCATGGAGAAGAGGCAGCTAATTCTGAGGAAATGACGTCTATGCTGAAACCAGAAAGACAGCAAGCAGTCAACCAGGAAAAGTGGGGACAGTGATGTCAGTGGAAGGAACTGCTTGGCCAAAGGCCTAGAAGGCCAGAGAGCGCATGGCTCCTTGGAGAAACTGAAAGAAGAATCATAGAGGCTCAGATTTGGAAAGTGTTTTAAAACACATCTGAAACCACTTTTTTTTATACAGGGAAACTGAAGCCCAGAGAGGGGAAGCGGCCTGACTAAAGCCAGTTCTGGTATTATGTAAGGTGTTAGTTCACAAAGCTTTAAATTTACCCCTCCTTGAGATATTTACATACCTGAATGCAGTTGGCCCTCTCTACCTGTGGTTTCCACATTCATTGATTCAACCAACTGCTGATGGAACATATTCAAGAAAAAAAACAACAACAATATAGCAATAAAAATAATACAAATAAAAACAATACAGTATGACAACTATTCACATAGCATTTACATTGTGTGAGGTATTATAAATAATAGAGATGATTTAAAGTATACAGGAGAATGTGCATAGGTTATATACAAATACTATGCCATTTTATATCTGCAGATTAAAATGAGAGCATCTGCAGATTTGGGTATGAGAGGCAGTCCCGGAACCAATCCCCTGGATACTGAAGGATGACTGTACTCTGTGTGTCAGTAAGGGCACAGAGGGAAGGATGACATAAAAGCTGGATGCCACCTCCAAAAAGGTGTCAACCTTGGCTTTTATGTCCAGTAGCTTCTTCCACATTAACTTATCTAAGAAAGAAAGAGAGAAAGAAAAAGAAAGAAAGAAAAGACCCACACAACTCTTTGAACTTTCAGAATACCAGAGATGGGGGTGAGGTGGAGGGCGGGGCGGTGCTTAGGGAGGGATAGGTTGGGTAAAGGGCATAAAGAAAAATAATAATCTGTAATAATAATATGCTTATAATAAATAATATGTTAAAAAAGAAGGAAAATAAAGCTCCATAAGAATGCTCTGTTTCTGAGCACTGCAAATGCCTTGTGCTATGCCCACAAAGTATAGCACCTGCCTCTTCAATAACAACCCCTCACATGTGCAGAGCTTTGTGCCATGTACAAAACACTCCTACATCCCTGGATCACTCCAGGTTTTATTTTTCTTTCTTTTTTTTTTTTTTTTTTTTTTTTTTAAAGATGACCGGTAAGGGGATCTTAACCCTTGACTTGGTGTTGTCAGCACCACGCTCACCCAGTGAGCAAACCGGCCATCCCTATATGGGATCCGAACCTGTGGCCTTGGTGTTATCAGCACCGCACTCTCCCGAGTGAGCCACAGGCCGGCCCCCAGGTTTTATTTTTCAATAGGCTTTATTTTTTAGAAAAGTTTTAGGTTCACAGCAAAATTGAGTAGCAAGTACAGGGAGTTCCCATATATCCCGTCACCCCCCCCCCGCACACACACACACATACACACACAGCCTTGCCCACTATCAACATCCTGCACTAGAGTGTAAATTTGTTACAATTGATGAACCTACACTGACACCTAAGATCCATAGTTTACATTAGGGTTCACTCATAGTATTTTACATTCTATGGGTTTTGACAAATGTATAATAATATGTATCCACCATTGTAGTATCATACAGAATAGTTTTACTGCCTTAAAAATACTCTGTTCTCCACCTATTTGTTCCTCCCCCAAACCCCAATTCCCTGGCAACCACTGATATTTTTACTATCTCCATAGTTTTGCCTTTTCCAGAGTGTCATATAGTGTCATATTGTCATATAGTGTCATATAGTGTCAGATTAGCTTCTTGTACTTAGTAATATGCATTTAAGTTTCCTCCATGTCTTTTCATAGCTTGATAGCTCATTTCTTTTTAGCACTGAATAATATTTCATTTTCTGGATGTACCACAGTTTATCTATCCATTCATCTACTGAAGGACATCTTGGGTGCTCCCAAATTTTGGTAATTATGAACAAAGCTGCTATACACATCCATATGCAAGTTTTTGTGTATACATAAGTTTTCAACTCCTTTTGGTAAATACCAAGGAGTGCAGTTGCTGGTTGAGCTGGGTAAGAGTATGTTTAGTTTTGTAAGAAACTGCCAAACTGGCTTCCAAAGTGGCTGTATAATTTTACATACCCACCAACAATGAATGAGATTTCCTGTTGTTCCATACCCTCTCCAGCATTTGGTGCTGTTAATGTTCTGGATTTTTGCCATTCTAATATGTGTGGAGTGGCATCTCATTTTAATTTGCAATTCCCTAATGACATATGTTATTGAGCATCTTTTTATATACTTATTTGTCACCTATGTATGTCTTCATTGGTGAGGTATCCCTTCTTATCCTTCGTCCATTTTTTAATTGAGTTGTTCATTTTCTTATTGTTGAGTTTTAAGAGTTCATTGTATATTTTGGATAACAGTTCTTTACCAGATATATCTTTCATAAATATTTTCTCCCAGACTATGGCTTGTCTTGTCATACTCTTGGTAGTGTCTTTTGCAGAGAAGTTTTTTTTTTTTTTTTTTCCTTTTTGTCTTTTTTCGTGACTGGTAACAGGATCGCAACCCTCGGTGTTGCACCTGCACTGCAACCGGCAATGGGATCGCAACCCTCGGTGTCGCGCCCGCACCGCGCTCAACCAGTGAGCGGACCGGTCTCTATATGGGATCTGAACCCTCGGGGGGAGTGCTGCCGCACTCCCAAGCACCGCACTCTACCGAGTGCGCCACCGGGCCGGCCCTGCAGAGAAGTTTTAAATTTTAATAAAGTCTACCTTATGAAATATTTCTTTTATGGATCATGCCTTTGATGTTGAATGCAAAAGGTGGTTACCAAACTCAAGGTCACCTAGATTTTCTTCTATGTTACCTTCTAGGAGTTTTATAGTTTTGTATTCTACATTTAGGTCTATGGTTCATTTTGAGTTAATTTTTGTGAAAAGCACAATTTCTGTGTCTAGATTCATTTTTTTTGCATGTGGATGTCCAGTAGTTCCAGTAGCATTTGTTGAAGAAACTGCCTCTTCTCCATTGTATTGTTTCTGCTCCTTTATCAAAGATCAGTTGACAATATTTATGTAGGTGTATTTCTGGGCTCTATTCTGTTCCATTGATCTACTTGTTTGTTTTTTCACCAATACCACACTGTCTTGATTACTGTAGATTTATAGTAAGTCTTGAGGTCAGGCAGTGTCAGTCTGTGAACTTTGTTTTTCTCCTTAATTATTGTGTTGGCTATTCTGAGTCTTTTGTCTCTCCATATAAACTTTAGAATCAGTTTGTTGATATCCTCAAAGTAACTTGCTGGGATTTGGATTGGGATTGTGTTGAATTTATAGATCAAGTTAGGAAGAACTGACGTCTTGACAATATTGTGTTGTCCTATCCATGTACATGGCATATGTCTTCTTTATTTAGTTCTTTCATTTATCAGATTTTTTTAGTTTTTCTTCTGTATATCTTGTACATGTTTTGTTAGATTCATACCTAAGTATTTCATTTTTTGGATGCTAATTTAAATGGTATTGTGCTTTTAATTTCAGATTCCTGTTGTTCATTGCTGGTAAATAGGACACCTATTGATTTTCATGTGTTGACCTTCTATCTTGCAACCTTGCTGTCATACTTCAGTTCCAGGAGTTTTTTTTTTTAATCAATTTATTCATATTTTCTACATGGACTATCATGTCATCTGTGAACAGTTTATTTCTTCTTCCCAATGTGTATACCTTTTTATTTCCTTTTCTTGTCATACTGCATTAGCTAGGGCTTTCAATATAATGTTGAAAAGTAGTGGTGAGAGGTGACATCATTGCCTTGTTCCTGATCTTAGTGGGAAAACTTCTAGTTTCTCCCCATTAAGTACCACATTAGCTGTGGGGTTTTTGTAGATATTGTCAAGTTGAGGAAGTTCCCTCTATTCCTACTTTGCTGAGAGTTTTTTGTTTGTTTGTTTTATCATGAATAAATGTTGGAATTTTGTCAAATGCTTTTTCTGCATCTATTGATATGGTCTTGTGATTTTTCTCCTTTCTCCTGTTGATGGGGCGGATTACATTAATTGATATTTGTTTTTTTGTTGTTTTTTTTAAAAAGATGACCGGTAAGGGGATCTCAACCCTTGGCTTGGTGTTGTCAGCACCACGCTCAGCCAGTGAGCAAACCGGCCATCCCTATATAGGATCCGAACCTGTGGCCTTGGTGTTATCAGCACCGCACTCTACCGAGTGAGCCACGGGCCGGCCTACATTAATTGATTTTTGAATGTTGAACC